AGCGTCAGGCACCACAGCTTTCTGGTGGCTTCAGCTTCTACACTCCTAAAGACTCTGCCTCAGTATCACCTGATCTCTACTGTTGGGTGTGAGGTGAAGAGAACCAGCACTCTGCTCTTGGCTTTTCTGAAAGGGGGGCGGAGGCACTGTGGCTGAGTGGCAGAGTGTCTGTTTTGCATGCAGAAGGTCCCAGGTTCAATCCCCGGCATCTCCAGTTAAGAAGGACCAGGCAGGAGGTGATCTGAAAGACCTCTGCCTGAGACCCTGGAGAGCAGCTGCCTGTCTGAGTCGACAATACTGACCTTGATAGACCAAGGGCCTGACTCAGTAGGAGGGAGCTTCCTGGGCAAGGATCAAGCCTGCAGGACTTCTGACTTCTCTGTGAACTGGGGTAGAGCTGTGGCTGGTGTGGAGGGGAGAGGAGACCAGAGTTTGGAAGAGTGAGGATGGGAGAAGTGCTCCAGAAGGGCTGGGGAAAGGGAAGACGTGGAACGGCCGGCAGTCCCACGCGGGCTCAGGAGGTGGAAGAACAACGTTTGAAGTCCAGGGGCACCTTTCAGGCCAACCAAGTTTTATTCTGGGTATAAGCTTTTGTGTGCACGCACACTTCTTTGGGCAGACATGAAAGCTTCTGTCCAGAACAAAACCTTGTTGGTCTTAAAGGTGCCACCAGACTCAAACTTTGTTTTGCTGCTTCAGCCCAACACGGCGACCCAACCGAATAGGGCTCAGGATGTAATGCCTGCGCTGTGGGACTCACAAGGATGACCATGAGCCATGCAGCCTCTGCTGAGGCCCCCAGTTGGACCTGAAAGCCCCGGCAGCTTGCAGGGGGAACCAGCGGAGTTGGTGGGTTCCCACCTTCAGGGGCCAGAGGACACTGCTGCTTGGTAGAGGCCTTGCTGTTTTTCACCCCATGAGGCTGAGGGGAAATGGGAATCAGAAACCAGGACTCAGGTGGTGCGAGAGCGGTCCTTCAACCTTCCCAGACTGAGCATGGGCCCCACTGAGTTGTAGCTGCGTGACCGTCATCAGAGAGTCGCCATGACAGGAGGAAGGTGAGCCAGAGTTAGGATCACACCAGTGTCAAGGCCAGGAGGACTGTGGACAGCAGACCAGAAGAGCCAAACAAGGTCCAGGTTTTTTGGGGCAAAAGGGGGGGGGGGGATCAGACCCACGGAGGCAGAGTCTTCGCCATGGAGTGACTGCCATGGCAGCAGGGTGTGTGTGCAACAAGAGGCACGGCACTGCTCTTGCTGCACACACAGCACTGGGAGGAGGTCCTCGGAAAGACTGCCGACCTCCCTGCGTTCCGGGTGCCTGGTGTCAGGGCCAAAGAGACTGTGTCTCAGCAATGGCCCAAGTGGCTCCCCCGTTTCCCTCTAGGCTGGCCACAGCAGGGATGAGCAGAGGGCCACCATTCGGAGGGCCACTGTGGCCCAGGTGTTCAGGTGATCTTCTTCCAGAGGGAGATAATGAGGTCCTTTCTGGCTGGGTCGGCACTGGAGGGGGCCCGCTCCGCTCTGCGAAATGAATCGGGGGGGGGGGGGGGG